CGAGCGAGACAATGTTGAGACGATCATTTCAATTCTCTCATTGCTACTAGCCGATCAGTTTCACATTGTTTTCGCTTTACATTTATGTCTGCCGGTCCGGATGGGGAAGGTGGTAGTTATGGAACAGAAGGGTCTATGCGTGGGTTTGTTTCTCTGAGAAGAAGAAGGACACTGATTGGGTTGCTGTCAAGATGAGAGAAAAGTGAGAATCGGTTTGGACTGACATAAAAACGACTGCTGGATTTGCTATGCCTTGTATTGCTCATTAGATACACCACGTACTCGACATGTGACTGGAATAGGGTGCGTAATTGGTACGGTGTAGTGGAATGACCTATGACATTTCTACTGCACACCTCTATTCCTAATTATAAACAAATCTGATTTGTCCTCATAGCAGTTCTAACACTGAGAGAAGACGTATTCATTTGTTAGAGATATGCTCATCAAGGAAAAAGTTCCGGGTTTTCGTAAATTTTCATGAGGAGATCGTTGAGGATTACCATACATTCCTCCCACATGAAACGGGTGTACCTTCCTGGGAGCAAGTGCGAAACCATGCAAATTCATGCGCCTACTTTATCTACTTTATCTATCTATCTCTTTACCTAACAAATTTTTTGGTTAGCTTTTCGAATTACTATGGCTCGAATAATCGCTTGAATTGGTCTTAAATTGAATCGTTTATTAAAATTGGAATCTCTGCGTATACGAATTGTTTCGTTCTCGGCCAATGTTGTCCTTCAAGCGAACTTGACCTTTCGGAACTTTCTTGGCAGATTCAGATAGCACTCCTGTTTAATATTAGAAGATAGCATCGTGGGTCTATCGAATTACTGTGTACAGATAATAGAAGTTCAATGAGAATCTAAATCCCCTATCGATTCGTATCAAATGAATATAAGCTCCATGGGATGTTGTGCACCATTCCACCTGCTCTACCTTTCTGTTTTTTCTTACTTTTGCGATATAACTGACCAGTCGGATTGAACGGGCCTTCCTCCCTCCCATTCTTTTGCTTCTGTAATACGACTGATAACCATGTCCTTTCGAAAAAAATAAGTGTACGTGACCCAATATCGGGCCCTACTTCCCCCTACAGTCAAGTGACTTTGATTGAATCAAACTCTCAACTGCTATTGCTTCTTCAACATTCTCCCTTTCCTTCCAACACCATAATAAACCAGTTACTTTTCCCTTAGACCACCAGAACGCGTGATTGTGCGCAAGTATTTCCCTTTGATAATGAACAGCGATACATCCCATTAACAATTGTTTCTTCTCCTTCCCCTCTTACTTCTCTTATTGCTCCATAAATTATCATGAGCAGAAACGAATTCCCATCTTTCCAACTGTGGTTACACTGCCTTCATCAATGGTGGCTACTTCGTGATACAAAATCTTCAGAAAATTTACACTTTTTCGTTCTCCCCCTTTTCTCTTAACTTAGAAACCACCCAAACCTTAAACGTACAGTACACGAAAAAAGTGGCTGACGAGATATTTATTCCACTAGAAAAAACCTCTGGCCCCCTCGTATTCCATATGTGGCGATGTCAGGTTGGGAAACGGCCTAGATAAGGTTAAAGGCTCAAATATTGCCTGGGGTGTATGCGCGGACGAGTTTCAACGACGTTCAAGAGGTTGCACTGTTCACAAGGGAACCCAGATAGTAAGTTTGAAGAACTTGTCATGATCCATAGCAACAGGGAAAGCAGTTCTGTGCAGTTCTGGCTTGATATAGTCGGCTCTTTGTGCAATCGCAACAACCGAAATCTCGTTCAAACACCCCTTCTACGTCATCTCCGTCATGGTAATCTCGTACAACCCTTGTTTCCACTACTTTCGAGGAGTTATTTTTCATGAAATCGGCGAATTTTCTTGCTTCTTTCACAACCTATGTACTATTCCCAACCAATACTTCCGTTTTTCGCTTTTAAAAGAGTAGCCCAAAATCAAGCCGTAGCCCAAAGCCCGTGAACTAAGCCTTTAATTGGCACTGTTCATGGTTAGCAAGCACCATGTAACTCTATACTTTCTCATGTCATTTTGCTCCTTTGAGCGGTATAGGCAATCTTACTCCCATTAGTTCATCTAAACCAGTTCCACTCCATCTGCAGGCCGGTATAAGCAAGAATTTCAAATGAAGTTAGTCGTTACGTAAGTGCGGTGCCTTTAAGAGTTCATCTCGATCAGATACCTTTTATGCTTCGTAAGAAACGACTGGGAACCATAAAAGCAAGAGCTATCAACCTATTATTTGTCCTTTTTCATCCTATTACTCCTGGTGGGAGGTTGAAGTGTAGAATCGCAGAAGGTTGGTTACTTGACAGGGATTTTCTACGCTCGATATTTTAAGTGTTGTTGTAAGTGGACTGGTGCGATTGGGCAATTGACCGAAAGACTTCAGATCATGTCAGAAGCTACGAAACAGTTCAGGCCTTTGAAAGCAATGGTTAGTTTGAAACGTCAACCAGATTGAGCTTGCACGGCAAATCAGTTGAATGGCTCCAAAAATGTAAAGGTGGTCGCAGTTGATCGGTCTGCCTTTCGTAGACACAGCAATACTTCCACAGCAATACTTGGGTGCTTGCACTGATGAGTGACATTTGCCAAGTACCATTCTATTTTTATAAATCCCTTAGATTTTGCCTTCATCGACCCAAGGTAACGATTACCTAGATCGTCCTTTTGCTCTTTTAGAGGCAAAGAATTGAGCTGAAGAACGTTGAGTCGATTAATTCAAGATTCTCAGACCGTGATTTTTGATTCTGGTGATTTTTTGGTAATGACTACACAGGCGTGATTATCAGGTGATGAGACGGAACTCTATGGCCATTGCAGAGGTGCAGAGATATGGGCAGAACATCAGCTTCTGACGGGGTACAAACCCGTAGCTTAGTGGAATGATTACAAAGCGCATTGTACGGCGGACCTAAGTCGTCGAACTCCTTTGTTTTTCAACTTTGTTACTTTTTTTGATACGGGGTGTACTTTTTGTGTGTTGTTGTAAAAATGTCTTGTTTGGCTTGTATTAATGTGTGAAGCTTTGTGGAAAACCCGTCTTGCCTGACATCGTTCTTCTCGTAAGTGTTCCTTGTGATAGTCATGTCATTCATACCGAGACTAATAATTCGAAAAAGGGAATTCTGCATCTTATTATTTTCGTTATTTGCCTGTTAAAGTCTCCTCCTATTACTAGCGACGGTTTTAATGAGAACACTCTCAGAGAAGAGATGGAACGATGAAAATCACTCATACAATACTATAACTCACTACTAAAGGCATAGTCCACGATAACCAATGGTTTCCGAGTTCTACCCGTAGGAATACTCAGTGGCCCCAAAGGTAACAGGAAGGAGCTGTCTTAAAAACTCAAGAGCTAGGGCATAGTGGGAGCTCCGTTACCGGATCGCCCGGACTTCCCGCCCCTCGACCGATGTCACGTCAGACGAGTGTCGAGGCGATAGAGATTGCATTAATCGCTCTAGGACCCACACACAATCAACTGATCACCGAGCAATGAGGCAACGTTTTTCTCACATCTTTTTTCCTCTGTTATTCTTTTTGCTGCCGTGATCCCTTATTTAATTTCCTACTTCTAGAGGCTGAAAAAGTGTTGGGCTATTTTTGCTATTACTAGAGTTTTTTTGTTAACCTATACCTAGGAGTGAATGAATTTTTGCTTACCATAGTCTGTTTTTCGCACCAGGACACACAGTACGCAATGACACACATTGTATAGCTCGTCCAAACGCCCCATTCTTCATTTTTCTGATCTCATTCTCGTCCAGCCCCCTTTTGAACGATTTTTCGGAGCCCTTTTCACTTTGGGAACACCGTGTCACACAGTTTCTTCGCCTTCATCGCACTATTTTCCATCTAATCTTCTATTTTTCGTTATAATCTGGATTACCCAGAATTATCGTGACCTGTGGCTTTAACCTGCTATTATATCATTCTATCTCAACCTTCAGTGTTTCCCTCACTAACCTTTGAGAAGAGCGGAGCGGCTAGAAGAAACCGACAGTCAATGGCACTAGGGCATCAGCCAGTTGTCCAATATCAATCTATCACAATGCCATCATCGTTAGGCATCCTAGTTCCACTATATAAGCTCCATAACCACAACTAGCCGTTGGCAGCTACTTCACAAAGTGCTGGTATCGCTTTTCAGATTTTAGGGATGCGGTTAGTTGTACATACAATCAGGAAGATGTGTATGAGGATAGACTAATTGCAATTAAGCCGACTAGCCGTCAAATGAACTGCAAACATACTTTCCAGTGCATTATATAGAGATGCACATGTGGAAGATTACCATCGTATGCGGGATAGGTAAGCCCAGGAGCTGTTGAGGTGGCAGACCGGTGAGATGTACATAGTCAAACACAAAAATGCTTTCGTATAAAGACCTTAATCTGTTCTATTAACTTACAAAAAAAGTTTCTGGACGGGCGAAAAATGGTTTTTCACAACTTTTTGACGTTCAAAAGTAGATGCTGAGGTTATTGTAGAACAGTTCCTCAAAGAAAAGACTGGCAATCGTTCTTCACATTCTCCTCATATCGTCTTAGTCGTGCAGCCTGCCAATCGTAACGTGCTCGAGCTCTCTTAGTTCTGAAGCTTTTCAATTTTTTACATTGTGGTCATTTTATTATAATTGAACTCATGGCTTGTACGCTTCCACTGCACTGAATCTTATCGCTTTTGCTAGTTCAGAAGATTTATTTTGTAGGCATAGTGGGGAAATCGCCCCAAGCAACAGGCGCCTCTGTTCGAGCTTCTATCTCAAATCACTGAAATAACGATTCTTGAACAGTATCGGCCAACGTTTATGACCTCCTTTTCTTGTTTACCGCGACTTTTCCAAGTATCTAACGGTACCTGAAAGTTCTCGTTTCTGATCAAGATCAGCATTCAGTTGTTTGTTAGCTTTAATGCTACCCCGGTATATGTTATCATGCTATAATTTCGTCCTATACCAATCATTTCAGAGAATGAGGGTTTCACCGCTTGGGAGCTCCGCCAAATTCGTGGATAACGGTAAATACTTCATCACGAGTTTCCTTATGACCTTTTTTTGCAATCCCAGTCAGTCGATGATTGGTTACTTCTAGTAAAAATAGCGATCAATGAAAGCTGACAATTTTAACCTTGCTTCAATGTTCCGGCGGAAATTTAAACTTGTGGGGAAAGAAGAGGGATGCTTCTTAGCCGAAAAAAATAAAAATTTTTCCTAAAATTCACAAGGGCACGAGCACCGGGGTGGGGGCAGTCAATTGCAGGTTCAGTTCTCATCCTTTCGCAGCTTTTTGCACGATGTAATCATGACATCCATCACTGAGCTCCTAGCCTCCTAGGCTCAGATGAGAGCTACGTTTCTCAGCTAAGAACCGTCTTCAAGCATGAGTAAAGTCAGCCACCTCTCCCCCTCTACGCGCTAGCGCTCCATGTTGGATAAGACGGTATCTTCCTCCCTCCTCCAATTACATTTTCACCTACAACCTTCAGCTCGAATCGTTCGAAATGGTGAATTCAGACACATCTCGGCTGACTGCTCGTGTAGTAGTCACAGCGATACTTTCGGTACTTGGAGGTGGCTTCCACTTCGGTTTCCAGATCTCCATTATAAATCCAATGGCTCAGATACTTCAAAACTTTCTCCTTGAAAACTTTGAAAGGTAAGTTCTGCATGACTACTTGCATGTTACCAAAATCACTGTCTTGCGGTACGACGAACATAATTATCATCATTGGAAGTTGATAATCGAATTCTTCCTTATTGCAGTCGATACTCAGTGGAGCTGTCAGAATCTGATCTGACATTGGTATGGTCAACGATTGCCGGGTCTCTTTTCATCGGAGCTGCATTTGGAGCTTATATCATGTCGAAGATCCTCGAAATTTATGGCCCCAAACGTGGAATTCTCTGCTCAGCTTTGGTCAGTCAATGTTTAATGAATTTTGCCGACAACCATGAGTGTCCTCTCGACCCAAGCAGTAACATATGTATTGTAAAAATCGAGATTTTCCTATCTTTCAGGTACTCCTACTTTCAACTCCTCTGGCTGGCCTTTCACATTTAATCTCGTCTCCAGAATTGTTCGTGCTTTCACGTTTACTTTCTGGCGTTGGAGTTGGCATGGGAACCACGGCACAAGGAGTATTTTTGGCTGAAATCAGTCCAGGTAGTACTTTTCAGAAGATATAGCCTCTACTTATTGGATTCGTTCCAATCTCATCCTTCGTATCATGAGTCCATGTGATGCTTTCTAAAGAATTTGGAATTCTGATTTGTTAAAGTCTTCAACGCAGCAAAAAATGGCTGTCAAAATAGAAAGCAGAGCGTATGTAGACCCACTCAAACCAATCTAGCCCATTCATTCGAATTTTGGAGTTTCAGTGGCTTACCGAGGTGTCGTTGGCTCATTCGGTGGCTTCTCAACCAATGTAGGCTTCATCCTTGCAAGCGCACTCGGTCTACCTGACGTATTTGGCAGTAAAACCTTATGGGCTTATGCATTCTACATCGAAGCGTTGCCCTGTTTGGTAGGTAATACACTATATTACCTTCTTTCTGTAGGACTCAGCCCCATATCCATAGAGAAATGACAAAAAGACTTGTTAAGCCTAAGGCGTGCTAATTCAGATCCTCATCATCGCGAACGTGAGCTGGTTCTATGACAGTCCTGTTTATCTTTTGCGTAATGGCGATGAAAACCTAACCTACCGGGCACTGACAGCTTACTGCGGACGTCGAGCCGCACCCAACGAAATGATCCGTGTCGTCAGTGAAGTGAAGGCCTACTGTACAAAAACCGACATTGTCTGGAGCAGGTAATACATTAGACTAGTAACGGCTTTTTGGTAATTTCCGGGATGAGTAAAGGAGAGAATATGTACGATCAACACATCGAATAATACGTACTTCAGAAAAAACCAGTAGGCATGACAACAATTTCAAGCTTCTTCCGTACGTCGAACTAAGCAACCTCACTTTGTGCGTAATCATCGAAAGCTCTGACGAAACAGCTCGCAGACTCTGATGAAATGCAAAAAAAAAAAATTTGATCGAATCCCTAACTCCGTAGTATCTAATCAAACCCAGAAAGAAGTGCGTGGAAGGGGTAAATGGACGATATTTCAGACTTTGCAATCGCGTGAAGAGTTGACTGCATTAAGTCCAAATTATCGGTCACGACTACATGTTTGCATTTCCAACGTGGGTGTCCCTTGTGAATGTACACTCCGCTTTTGGGTGTAGCATACAGCGTTAGAGCCCTTATCTGCCTTATCTAGTCCGCTTTCCGATCTGGCAGTGCCACATGTGATGTCTGGGGAGGTTACAGACCCACCCTAAATAGATATCAGAGATACCCTTCCTGACTGCGCTTTATAAGAGAGACGACAGCAGAGGTAGGGAGGACGGTCAAGTCGTGCGTCCGAGAGTACGCGCGGCAAATTACGCGGCGAAACCCATACCTATTCTGACGACTTTAGCGCCCATGATTTGGGCCCAATTCCGA